AGGTCTTTTACTATGTTCCAAATGTTTTAGTCTAGACATCATTATAAACTGTTTGACTGGTAGTCGGGATGGTGTCAACAGCCTTTTCTTTTGTTTCAAGGCTTTTATTGCAGTTTTAGATGACGTAGTTGTACTGCTTAATGTTGCCATTTAGTTTCCTTTTAGTCTCTTGGTACGAGGTATTTAGTTCTGCTAGAAATGTGATTGAAGTTGAAACATTTAAACATAGGCTTTGACTGGTTACAAAATGGAGTCAAATCTAGTGTACAGAAATATGATCTCAGAAAATCTAAAAATGGGTGTAAAGCATAATGAAATTTCTGCATAAATATTATTCAGTGAAAAACTGTGCATTTTGTAATTTTTTTCTTTTTTTGCCAAAGTAATCAAGCAAATTTGTTTTTTGAAAAGGAAACTCAGAGGTCTGTAGGAAAAGGGGGCAGGATTTTTTGGAGCGTTCAAGATTGGATTTACCGCTTGGTCGTTCCGCAAGGAAAGGTAAAATTCTGCCTCGTTCAGTTAAACAAGACTTTTTTTTGTTGACGTTTTATCAGAAGTTTCCAGATTTTGTGCTTTTTTAAATTTCTAATTTTTTTTTTTCATGTTTTGAGCTGACAGTAAGTTCTACACTTATTTTGATAATTTATGAATTGGAATAATATATAGTCAATTTTTGCTCAAGTTTTCTATTTAAAGGTAAACAAATATCTGCTGTCATTGTCGAAATATTTTCTTCATCGTCTCTTTTCTTTCTCCTCTTCAAATTCGCTGCTTAATTTTTTAAACATTTTTTATTTTCATTTGAAAAACATGAATTTTTTCATTTTTTGACAGCAGTTTTTGAGTAATTTTCAAATGAAAGTATGTTTTCTTTTCGTCAATTTATAAAACTCTCCAATGTTTATCAGGGTGATGGTTCCGTTAAAATTCCTAATCTCTATCTAGAATTTTGTTCTAGACAATTTTACAACCTTTGGTTCATCACTGTCTTAACGGTTTTTGCAATCCTTTAGTTTTATTTTTAATTTTTGCAGTTTTCATCTGTCTGAAAATGATACGCTAAAAAAAATTACAGTTCAAAGGGAAAAAAATTTATTTATCAAAACTAGGTCACTGAGGGGTGATGATGGCTGTATACCAAATTTAAGATATTAGATTAACCCTGTTCAAAATTATAAGCTGTTCTTTGTTAAACGCTTCATTTTAAGGAAGGAGGTCATTTTTGACACGTATTTGCCGATAAAGGATTTCCAGTGAAAAAATTGCTTCTTTAAAACTGACGTTCGCTGCAGTCACAAAGTATCACTGGTAGCTTCGGTTGTTAAATTTCCTCGAAAAAAGAAAAAAAGAGGAACAAATACGATGCTTAATTCCATTAGACCGATTTCTCTTTATTTTTGTTGTGTCTGACTTCTAGCGTGAGGTTCTTATGTTTTAACAGCAACTTCTGTTTCATTTACTTTCTTGGCTTACGTAATTATAAAGCTGGTATCATTTGGCGTTTCCATAAACTTCTGTTTTGTTATTATTGCACAGACATCCTTCCCAAACATTTTTATAGCACAAATTTGTTCTTCTAGCCAAACACTACTTAACATTTATTTAGCCACTAATATTAAAAAAATTTTTTTTATGTAGTTCAAGGAATTTTAGGTGCTGATGGAGCTGGAGGTCTCTGACGACACTGATATAGATAAGCTGCTGGAGTTACGAAACAAACTGATGAGTCAGTTACAAAAGACTGAATCAAACAGAGTACCAAAAGCTGCATGCCCTTTTAGGTGTCAGAAGAGACGTTTAAACTGTGAAAACGTCTTGTCAACAAGTACCATAAAATGTGCATCTAGTCTGAAAAGGCCAAGAAGTTCATCTGATGAGAATTCTGCAGATCATTCCGCAGACATACAGAAAACAATTTTTTCTGAAAATACTGGCTATTGTGAAGAAAATAGTGGCCAAGCTTCATCTAGTCGTCCGAGTTCATCAAATGAACGAAGTTGGTCTTCTTTTTCCAACGATACAAATACTTCCAGTGCATCGAAAAATCGGGAAGATATTTCCTACGCAGCCAGTAAAACTGTTGACAGTCTCTTATCAAACGACAACGCTTTGTCATTGGAAGTGAACGCATCCTCACCAAATCTTGATACTCATAGATATCAGGTTAGGTATTTAACATTATGAACTTGAATTTATATTGCCCCGGTCACTGTATGAGGAAGGAAGAGAGGGAGAATGAAGGGAAGAATTTTACGTTTGGCTGTGCTGTTGAGGTAACTGGAGGCCTGAACCAGGATAAATTTGGATTAAAAGTTATTCGGTTCTCGCTATTTTGAAATGTCATTCTAACTCAATTTACGAGTGGTATGTTATTATGGCTTAGAAGGTTACCTGAATAGTGGTATTCTGTTTTTTTTCTCTTCTCCGTTAATACTGAGCGCCAAAGCGGACTAGTTACTTGACAGTTTGTAATGAAAGAATAACGATCTCTGAATTCCATCTTTTTTTGAGTTTTTTTAGATTGCAGTTAAATACCTAGTTAATTGTTTAGCCAGCCGTATATAAATTCTTGAATTTGTTACGTAAAGTTTATTGTGCAAACGGGGAAAAAAGAATTTTTGGAAACATATGGTGTTATTGTCAAGAAATTCACTAGGTCATTCGAGCTTTTTTCGGCTGTTACCTTATCAGTGGTAAGAAAATTTTGTTCAAAGATTTTTTCTGTTTGAAAGTTTTTGAACTAAGTTTTTGGATGCTAGCAAATTTTTTACATCTTTAAAAGGTTTTTAGGTTAATTTATTTAGGTTTCTGAGTTATGGTTTGAAATTACATAATTAATTTAATAACTAGATAGATGCTGTAATTTCTAAAAGAACCTTTGGATTTTACAGCATTTTGATCACGAAAAATAATTTAGTGTATTGCTGAAAAGACTATTCTTCTTTATATTTTCAAAAAAACTTTCAAAGTTTTCAAGTTTTTTGAGGAACAGTGCTTACATTCATTCTTTTAGGGCACTTCGATGTAGATTTATTATTGCTATTTGAAAAGTTAGGGATGAAAGAGGTATCTGTAGCTTTTTCATTAGTGCATCATCAAAAACTATCGATTTTCAACAAGCATTTTCTACTAGAAAGTAATTGGTGTTAATGCCTTTTATGGTCCTCTGCTACTTTTTACATATTTC